TTTTTTTTAAAAAAAAAAAAAAAAAAAAAAAAAAAATAATACCGCACTAACTAGAATAAAATTTAAACCCCCCTTCCACTGCAGTATAATTTCTATCTCTCTCACGACGGTTTGATATAAAAAATATTATATCTAATATTCTTCCTATCTTATTTGATTTTTTAGTCAATCCTTTTGATTACCTCTTGCAGAATTTTTCCCATTTTATGTCATTTTAATATACATTTTCCAGAATAACGTCGAGAAATAATAAGTCATTTTTCTTTCCTGCGGATTCCAATCAAAATAAGAAATGAGTAAGAGGTCAAATGAGAGATAGAACATGTCCTCGAAAATTTAATGAAACAGAAATTGTTTTTAGAAATAAAATGCTTAGTTAATAAGTTTCTATTTATTTTTCATCTTTCGGTCGTCAGCGAGATGATGAGAAGAATTTGTAGAAACTTTCTCTTCGAGTGGATTTAAGCTCGCTTTTAAACTCTGTTTGTAACTCATATCTTATATGGAGAGAACTCCTACGCGCGAATGAAGTTTCAAAAAGTTTATATTATAAAAACTCTTTCTACAGCGTGCGTATAGAGAATAAAAGTTCAAAGTAATAGTTACCGATCGAAATGCTTGTTTTAACATTCATTAAAACCTGTCTAGGTATCTCCCATCTGTAAAAAGGCATAATCTTATTTTTTAATTTTTCCTCCACGAATCTATTTTATTTGGAACGCATCGAGGTCCCGCGGGGATAATGGCTACTCTCCAGGGAATCATCGCTCGATGTCGATCGGTAAAATATTTGTAACGTCTCTGATGAGAAACGCCCACGAATACGTGGGAGTCTTATCTAAACATGTGAGAAAAATTGCGACGCTCACGCTCGTGCAGCAATTTAATAATATCTCCCGGTTTAAACTTAATGCAGCAATCCTTGATATGAGACAGATGACGCGATCCGGATATGACTCCGGGTAGATTTCTCATTGGTGAAATATTTGCCTGAAACACGTAAAAAACGCCCTATCTAAACACTACGGATGAAAAAGAGAATGTGACGTATGTGCGTGATAATTTAATAACGCTGATGGCTGAGGACACCGCCGGTGCGCAGTGGTTCGATACGTAGATATCGAATTCTCAATATGATCAAAATTGACTGTCACAGGATGCTTTATGGACACAGTATATTCTGTGTTTGCGGTGCAAATTAAGTTTACGTGCGAAATGAACGTGGGCGATCGTATAACGAATGTGACACGATATTACACAATCGATCGCCGAGAACAACCGTTGCACAATATATTTTCTGTTTCACGAGGATTATTTTTTATCGGATAAAAATTTTCATTCGATTTAAATATACGTCGTCAAATACATGCATGAGTATTAAATTACTCATGTTTTTCTCGTTTCAGTGGGGCATACGAATAAAATCTTGTGTATAAAACATTTTCTCCAAGAGACCGGTAAAAGTACAGAAATACAGCTTTTCGCGTAAAACTTTTCTATATAATAAACAGAATATGCTTCTCAGACAGATGTTCTAAGGGATCTAAGAAAATTGCTTTTTTTTAAGAGGCTTAATGTAGAAAAATTTTGCTCTTCTTTTTAATAGAGTCAATATATAAAAATGTTGACTTTCGAATGACTTTTATGAAATTTGACAATATTTACTGTCTTGTGTAGAAAGACTTATAGGGAGACTTAATTGCGAGGAAAACTTTGCGACGAAGGAAGGAGGATTTTACGAGGAGGATTTTAAGGAACAATCAATATGCTTTACGATTATTCCTGCAGTTCTATCAGATTAAGCGTTTTGATTAATTGATTTTTCAGGATCGTTAACTTATGCGCGCCTGCTATTGTAGGCGTTGTGAACAATACGATCGCGTGTTTGCTCAATTATTCCGAAAGCCTCTCGCACGAAGCGTGCTGTCGCATTACCTATGTCGTGTTTATTAATTCCGTTTTGGATCCCTCACTTTAATACGTTATCGTTGTAATTTAATCATCCGGTGACTCTCGCGACCGTCCCACCGGCGAACGTAATTGATTTTTTTCGAACTTTCATTTTCGCAGAATAAGATTGAGTGCTTATACACGCACGCACGCACACGCGCACACACACACACACACACACACACACACACACACACACTTCTGATTATTTGGAAACAGCATACGTTTCGAGCTTACTTTTTCAATTTATTTTCTTCAAATTACTTTCCTCAGATTACTCTCCTCTGATTATTTTTTTCATTATTAAATCGAGAAAAGTTTAATTCAAATAAGCGAAGAAGACTACACTCGGATCTCAGTGCTTAGTAATATTTTTGTGTGAATTTTACAATTTCCTACTTTTTAATTTCTTACTTTTTTCAAATTATTTATCTTGCTCGTTCAAAATTTATTATGTGCGTTTCAGAGGCTTGCCATCCGTACGAACCGTTTAAGTGTCCAGGCGACGGTATTTGCATCTCGATACAGTATCTCTGCGACGGAGCACCCGACTGTCAGGACGGATACGACGAGGATTCAAGATTGTGTACCGCAGGTAAGCATAATTTTGAATTCATTAATTAATTAGATCTAATCGGCAGTGCGACTCATTTAGCATTATTAATTACGTATCTTGTTCTAACTATGATAAACAAACTGATTTGCAGTAAAACGTATGATCTCATTTTTAATCTATTTTACGCTTTTAATATAATTTATATCTCTTTTTACGTAGGATTATCTCGTGATTTGGTTAGTAGATTTTATTTTATAAATATCTACTGACGTAAATTTTACATTTGTTATGTATGTACATATGAGAGGGTGGATACCGCAGGGTGTGGATACACTCGACGATATTCCGTGAAATTGCACTAGGCAGCTGTAATAAGAGAGGAATTGCTGTTGCACTCGTTTGAGTCACGTAAAACGTGATCTTTTATTTCACTTTCTACCATTCTATTCGTAATAAATATTGATTAATCAACATTTTGTATATACCCATGTTTATTTATTTATTTGTTTTTTTGAGATTTGGAGAAAATTCCAATTTATTTAAATAATGTTTATGAACACGTGCTATTGATCCCCGACATAGTGGGAGTCATTATGCACTTTGCATTTATTTTGTTTTATTTTATTATAGCGATGTAGTAATTTTTATGGAATGTTGCTTTTTTGCCGTTACAGCCAAACGACCGCCCGTAGAGGAAACTGCGAGTTTTTTGCAATCTCTGCTAGCCAGTCACGGTCCCAATTACCTAGAGAAGTTATTCGGAACCAAAGCACGCGATACGCTAAAACCTCTCGGTGGTGTAGAAAAAGTGGCCATCGCGCTGTCTGGTAAGTTTCTTAGAATTAGAATTATATATGACACTTCGCGCTACTGAACGCGACACCAAATAGATCGAATAGAACTGTTCGACTTCTCCGATGTCTCACGTGAAATCTTTTCCACGTATATCGGAAATCTATTAAAAGCAGCAATATTGCCGCGTTTCGTTATAAAACGAAATCGCAAATATTTTAATCTATCTTCATGTAAAAAATGTCGGTCAAACAAACATTTATCTTGTTTAATTGACGCGATGATATACAAGAACTTTGAATTTAGAAAAAGATTTTCTTGCTATTCTATCATTGAATGAGCTGATTCCACGACTTGGCCTCTGACTATCTGTTTCGGCCGTCAGAATCGCAAACGATCGAGGACTTTGGCGCAGCGCTACACTTAATGCGCTCGGATCTCGAGCACCTGCGTTCAGTTTTCATGGCGGTGGAGAATGGCGACCTGGGCATGCTGAAATCTATCGGTATCAAGGACTCCGAGCTAGGCGACGTCAAGTTCTTCCTCGAGAAACTCGTTAAGACGGGCTTCCTCGATTGAACGGTCACACTCGCCGCCGAACCGCCGTCGTCGCCGCCGTCGTCGCTGTCATCGTCGTCGTTGTCGACGAGGAACCATCGTTGTCGTCATCGTCGTCGTCGTTGTCGTCGTCGTCGTCGTCGTCGTCGTCGTCGCCGCCGCCGTCGCCGCCGCCGCCGCCGCCGCCGCCGCCGCCGTCGCATCACCGCCGGTGTCGCGTCACTGTCGTCGCATCAGCAGACCCTTCGTTTGATAAAGCCTAAATCATCCTTTCCGCGGGCACTTCTATCTTTCCTTCGTCGCGAGTTCTTACGCGCAGAATATAGCCTGTCATTTTTCTTTCCTTTCTTATCCTTTTCGAATCTCTTACTCTCGCTTCAACGCGCCGAGCGTGATCACGAGCACCGAGATAATCATCGAGACCCGTGTATAAGGGAGCGAATTTCGAATCTTCTGCATGACGAACAATCAGATTTCCATTTGTGTATCTCGTAACTTTATCACATTTGGATAATTCATTATATGTGTCAAGCGTACCGTTGATCCGCTTGGAGAAAATGCAATAATCAGAACGTGATTGATATAATTAATGTACTCGGAAAATTTAATTATTCCTCTATTTGGATTTGAACCGTCGTTATTAAGAAAAATATAATTAAATGACTGAAAAGTATTAAGGTTCTCTGAATGATCTACGATCGAATATTATCTTTAAACTTTTCAAACTGTAACATCTTATATATAATATTTGACTATTTTACTTCCTCTAAAGTTTTGTGATTATTGATCCTAAATAACGTAATCGGATTTTCATGAATATGATGAAGGAAATTATGTTATATTTTTAAGAATTTGTCATATTTTAAATCTATGAAGATTTTTGAAAAAATATCTTAAACTTTTTCATATTTTATAAGTTTTCTTAAGAAATGATAAAATGAAGATTCTTTTAGAATATTTAAGAAACTTCATGTACATGAAGAATTCTAGAAAAAAATCTAAACTTTCTCGGTATATGTGAAAAATTTTTCAATTTATATAACAAATCTGATAAATATTTTCTAAAAAGTTATAAAAATACATATGAAATTCTGAAAAATTCTGAAATTCACATAAAAATTTTGAAAAATCGCCTGATGAAGAATTCTCACCAGGCTACGATTTAATCGGATTTCTTACGTTTTCTATCGTTTTTCCTAACTATACATTCGAGGCACATCCTCTCCTCGTGTGAACAAGTAATGAGCTTTTGTCCGACCTATTTCTAAAATATTGAGCTTCCTCTTGTAGCTATTTTGCTGAACCTTTTGTTAAGGTTCTCTTACTCTATGCATGTATATGCTGTTATGCGTATCTTGGCTTTCTTCGATATACCGTATCTTTAATATATCTTAAATATACGAGCACGTACACTGTGTCTTACATAAGTGATGAAACATTAATGACAATCGTTCGCGATCGGTAATGATATAACAGTCTGACAGTTGTGCATCAAAAACTTAAACTATGCGAGTTATTTTCGTTCGGGAAATTCATTATGATTATATCTACAACGAAGGATTGAAATGTTTGAGATTGTGATTGAAGTGTTATGAGATTGTAATTGAGATAAAATATCTACTTAACAAATTAAAATTCTTAAACTTAAATAAGTTTTTTTCTGAGAGAATTTCGATGAGAGTGTTAAGACCTTAGAAAGTTCAAACTTCAAACTTCGTGGGAGGAAACTCTCAGAAAGTAATTACGCTCAAGCACGTGGCAAGGGATGATTTTTAATCAAAATTACATTACTTCGTGAAAAGGTCGAGTGGAAGAAGCCGATAATGTAATTCTTATTAAACACAATGCCATAAAATTGGCTCTCCCAGAAGCAATTTATCTCTCACGGATGCACAATTATTGAACCACGTGCTTCGGTAGTTAGAGTCGGAGGTGGGAATCTACATTGCTCTTAATTATTTCTGCGTAAAAGAACTACGCATGTAACGATTATTCTCAATTATTTCCCTAGGATATCCTTTTAAGCGTCCGATGATGCTGCGTAATTTTTATTGCAATTGCGGAGTAATCTTATATATTGGTGACAGGAAGAGAGATGACAGCTTTTATTCGGATTTTATTACTAAAACAGTATATTGGTATATTGATTGATAAACGGTATATTGATTTAAACATTTTTAATCGATTTTTTTATGTACGTTTTTGGTTTTTTCATAATTTTAACTTCGTCACCATGATTATTTCTTTTTGCGTAAATGTTTCGCGACGCGACACCGCGATAAAACGAAAAATAAAAAAGGAAAAAGAAAAATTAAATTTCTTGCCGAGAAAGTCTTCGGTATTTAAGTATTCGGTATTTCCATCGCATCCCTATACCAAAATTTTTGTTTTAATTAAGATGGCATTGATGGATGAGGATATAAGATGAAGCAGCCTTATTTAACATTACAAAAATATGCGGTGGAAATACTGCCTTTCGTGTTAAAAGGAACAGGTGATTTCTCTCGGTGCGCTCGTGAACGTCATGCAATCGTAATATACAATGTGATGATGTTGCACGCGTTTTAAAAGAAAGGGTACAAAAAAATAATAAAAAGAAAAAGATGAAGAAACGGAGCATCGCGTCGCGTTTTTTCAG